GTGGGGGTGGGGATGGTGGCGGCGGTGGAGATGGATGGTGTGGATCATGGAGATGGAGTCAGGGCAGAGCCATGGGTGGGTCGCTCTGGGTCGGAGCTGGGGAGGCGCTACTCGTGCACTGCGGGAGGGATCGCGATCTGATTTAGGGTCTCGACAGTGTAGCTTAGCTCAGTGTGAAGCTCGGTCACGTCACTCAAGCAGGTTATCCTCGAAACTTCGATTGAACCAGTGTTAAGGCAAACATTATCAACATACTCTACTTTTTTGCCAGAAAATAATTATCAATCAACACACTACAGAAATAAAGCTACTCTCTCCGTCCCAAAATAAGTGTATTAAGCTTAGTCACATCTCTCTTTATCATATGCCACATCTCTTGCTCACCTATTTGTACTTTTCTTTATCTCACTGCATTTTGAGTGTTCGTCCAAAGTTCAACAAACCATTGTCTAGATAAATTATCTGTCATGCATTCATGATCAAACACCGGGTTTGATGTCATGTGTCCTCTTAAGATGGATTATCCTTTTGGTGAGAGACTACATTCACTAGGAAATGAGACAACTTGAATCTTGTAGTGAGTTCATCGATATTAAACTCCATGGAGGAACGGCATGATTTGTTCGCAACAATCTGAAAATGAAAGAACGGAAGGAAACAAAATACAGAAATGCCTTATAGATGAAGGACAAAACAAAAGATTAAAAGCACAAAATTTATGTGTATCATGGAGTGGTGGGCAGGCAGTGGGTCACTCTGATCGAGGGAGGTGATACTTATGCATTGTACCTGCTGATCACGATCTGAGTCGCAAATTAGGTTCTCGCAATGGCATGTCATTGAAGCATGTTATCCGCAAAGCTGATTGATCCAATTTTGGAGATAACATTATCAACATTTTATCCGATTGGTTCATAATTTAGGTCTTCAATTTAGCTAACAAAATATGCACAATATGTCTCAAACAAAATTTATGTTTATAACCACATTCAATGACGAATCTAAAGATATATCTTTTGGCATAAAACACATTGTTCGTTAGTTAAACCGACGATCTAAAACCCTTGTCTGGCTTATAAACCTAACCTACTGAACCAGTAAAGCTAATACCCCATTTCGTGCTCTCTCATTGCACTTTTTTTCTCATGGATTTGGATTTGGATTTTCTTATAGCGAGAAACCGATTGTAATATTAATATAGTATTACTCTCTTTTACTACAACGGGTGCATTGAGAACCAACAATTGACTAGATAGATTATATCATCAATCCATCAAACTACCAAACATCTCTTCACACACAAAAATTGTGTGTGGCTTATTAAAACAAATTATTATTTTCAGTAAGAGACGACATTTGTTCGATGATGAGGCACATATGATCTATGTTGATTTCGTCAATCTAGAAGCTTCATTACTCTAGTGTTCATCAACAACCGCTTTTAACACATTGCTAAGAAGACATCGAACCTGCAAACTCTCCTCTAGATTGTATGTGCCTTGTCAAGGTTACCTCACACATTTTTTTTATGATAACAGTTGAAAGGATTGAAATTGACCTAGAGGGTGGTGGATAGGGACAACAAATATAGTTCACTTATTAGTAAGTTTAGACTCTGCGGAATATAAAGTGTGAACATAAACAATGCTACAGTGAGATATACAACCTATATGATGCTTCCAAGCTAAAGTGAACAAAGTAGGCTGCAAGTAATGAGTTAGGTTAGAGATGACCGGAGAGACCGGAGGCGTGGATGTATCCCGATGCCCAATGTTCATTTCCTTGGGGACCTTTCCCCCCTTCTCTCTCCCCGCCCCCTGACCCACTCACGCGAGCGGACGGGGGAATCCCAAGCCGCCGGCCTCAACCCTCCTCCTCTAGCCACTGAGGGAGTCCTGGACTAAGGGGTCCTCGGGCGTCCGGGCTATGTGATATCAGCCGGACTAATGGGCCATGGAGATACGAGATAGAAGAACCTTCCCCGTGTCCGAATGGGACTCTCTTTTGCGTGGATGGCAAGCTTGGCATTTGGATCATGTACCTTCCTTTCTCTGTAACCGACTATGTACAACCCTAGATCCCTCCGGTGTCTATATAAACCAGAGGGTTTAGTTCATAGGGGCGAACACAATCATACGAGCTAGACATCTAGGGTTTAGCCATTACGATCTCGAGGTAGCTAGATCAACTCTTGTAACCCCTATATTAATCAAAGTCAATCAAGCAAGTAGGGTATTACCTCCATTAAGAGGGCCCGAACCTGGGTAAACATTGTGTCCCCTGCCTCCTTGTTACCTTCGATCCTTAGACACACAGTTCGGGACCCCCTACCCAAGATCTGCTGGTGCTTTCATTGAGAGTTCCACTATGTCGTCACCAGAAGGCTCGATAGCTCCATCAACTATCCACGACGACACTGGTGACTTTTCTCCCCGGCCAAATATTCGTATTCGGCGGCTTCGCACTTCGGGCCAATTCGATTGGCCACCTGGAGCAGATCGATAGCTACGCCCCTGGTCATCAGATCAGTTTTGGAAATCTAAACTACGTCGCTGATATTCGAGGAGACTTGATCTTCCAAGGGTTCGCAGCCCCAATCGCAGCTCCGGCCTTAGATCCGGAACTCCTTGCCGAGTATGAAGACGGGAGTATAGAGCTCGCCGGACTCTCCGCAACCATAGAGCTCAACACCGGAGATACGGAGGGGGTCGTTTCACCGGCCAGCCCGGAATCTATCCTCATCGAGCTGGACTCGCCTCCGTGCACCAGCTCCAAACTCTCGAGGTCTACGTTATACGAGCTTGGCCAGGGAACTCCGGTCCCGCCTCGCTCCACGGATTCTCGCTTCCCTGTCCAGACCTCACTCTTAAACGAGGCTCTGGACTTAATGCGGTCTCTAGCCATTACAAAAGGATCGCTGTTGAACTATACCCAGCCCGCACTAGTGAAGGAAATATGCCCTAGAGGCAATGATAAAGTTATTATTTATTTCCTTATGTCATGATAAATGTTTATAATTCATGCTAGAATTGTATTAACCAGAAACTTAGTACATGTGTGAATACATAGACAAAACATATAGTCCCTAGTATGCCTATACTTGACTAGCTCGTTAATCAAAGATGGTTATGTTTCCTAACCATAGACATGTGTTGTCATTTGATAAGCGGGATCACATCATTAGGAGCATGATGTGATGGACATGACCCATCCGTTAACTTAGCATTATGATCGTGTTAGTTTCATTGCTACTGCTTTCGTCATGACTTATACAAGTTCCTCAGACTATGTGATTATGCAACTCCCGAATACCAGAGGAACACTTTGTGTGCTACCAAACGTCACAACGTAAATGGGTGATTATAAATGTGCTCTACAAGTTTCTCAAAAGGTCGAGGAGTCTTGAAATGGTCGAGCCATGAAGATTGATATATTGGACGACTATGTTTGGACATCGGAATGGTTCCGGATGAGTTCGGGCATTTACCGGAGTACCGAGGGGTTACCGGACCCCCCCCCCGGGGGAGTGTATGGGCCTTACTGGGCCTTAGTGGGAGAGAGGAGGAGGCGGCCACGTGGAGGGCGCCCCCCCCCCAAGCCCATTCTGAATTGGGTGGGGGTCGGCCCCCCTTTCCTTCCCTCTCTCTCCTCCTTCCTTCCTCTCCTACTCCAACTTGGGAAGGGGAAATCCTACTCCCACTGGGAGTAGGACTCCCCCCTTGGGCGCGCTATAGAGGGCCGGCCCTCTCCCTCCTCCACTCCTTTATATACAGGGGAGGGGGCACCCCTTAGACACAAGTTGACAATTGTTTAGCTGTGTGCGGTGCCCCCCTCCGCAGTTACACACCTCGGTCATATCGCCGTAGTGCTTAGGCGAAGCCCTGCACCGGTAACTTCATCATCACCGTCACCACACCGTCGTGCTGACGAAACTCTCCCTAGGCCTCAACTGGATCAAGAGTTCGAGGGACGTCTCCGAGTTGAACGTGTGCTGAACGCGGAGGTGTCGTACGTTCGGTGCTTGGATCTGTTGGATCGCGAAGACGTTCGACTGCATCAACCGTGTTAACTAAACACTTCCGCTTTCGGTCTACGAGGGTACGTGGACACACTCTCCCCTCTCGTTGCTATGCATCACATAGATAGAACTTGCGTGATCGTAGGATTTTTTTTGAAATTACCATGTTCCCCAACAACTAGGGGCTGAGAGCGGGGAATTTTACATCCCACCCACCACCCACTTCATAGACACTG